CATCTGAGCAGATGCAACAGGATGCTGGGATTCAAGACACCACAGTCTTCATGGCAACAACTCCAGAACCGACTGAAGGTGAAATAACCGATGCTTCATCCGAGCAGGTGCAGGAGGATACTGGGGTTCAAGACGCAACAACCAACATAACAGCAACTCCTGCACCAATTGAATTTCAAATAACTGATGCTTCATCTGAGCAGATGCAGCAGGATGCTGGGATTCAAGACGCCACAGTCATCATGGCAACAGCAACTCCTGCACCGAGTGAATTTCAAATAACTGCTAATTCATCTCAGCAGATGCAGGAAGATACTGGGGTTCAAGATGCTACAGCCAACAAGATGACAGCAACTCCAGAACAGACTGAAGGCGAAATAACCAATGCTTCATCTGAGCGGGTGCAGGAGGATGTTGGGGTTCAAGATGCCACAGTCGTCATGGCAACAACAACTCCAGCACTGACTGAGTTTGAAATAACCAATGCTTCATCTGAGCAGGTGCAGGAGGATACTGGGGTTCAAGATGCCACAGTCGTCATGGTGACAGCAACTCCTGCACCGATTGAACTTCAAGTAACTGCTGATTCATCTGAGCAGATGCAACAGCATGCTGGGTTTCAAGATGCCACAGCCAACATGATGACAGCAACTCCAGAACCAACTGAATTTGAAACAACTGGTGCTTCATCCGAGCAGGTGCAGGAGGATACTGGTGTTCCAGATGCCACAGACAACATGGTGACAACAACTTCAGCATCGACTGAAGGCGAAGTAGCTGATGCTTCAGCTGAAGACTATGTGATCTTGGAACCAGTCCCAGTCCCAGTGAGTGAGATTCATTTAGATATTGTTACTCAGGCTGTAGCTGAATCGGGCTTATCTGCCTCACTTGGTCCAGATGAGGAGATGGCAAGTCAAAGTATTTTAAATAGTTCCCCACAGACTATTATACTCGAGGCTGTGGCACATCAAGGTGAAACAAACGATGAGGTCAACAATACCACAGTAACCAGCTCAGGTGAAGTTTTAGAGCAAGAGACAGAAACAAACAGTCTTCAAGATGCTCCAGTTTCTGACCACCAACCATCATCTGCCTCTGTGGATGTAGAGATGGTGAACTCTCATCACACAAATAATGACAGTACTGCAGCAGTGATGGAGAATGTTGAATGTACACTGGGCCAAGACGAAGTGCAGATTCTGGAAGTTATGGAGATTGGTCGTGAGGTGGTTGTGATGGAGGAAGACAACAAGGAAGACAGTGATGTTGTAGTAATAAAACTACCGGCTCAGCCTACCAAAGGTTCTAAAAAGTCAGAAGAAGAAGTAAATGTTACAAAGAAACAGGACACCAGTAAGACTGTGAAAAAGAAAGCGAGTGCAGGAAAGGTTGAAGAGAAAAAGGGACAAGAGGTCGAAAAACCCAAGAAACAAGAAATGAACATGCAAGCGAGAACCAAAGCTCGTCTCGCAGCTCTGGCTGAGCAGAAGGCTGCAGCGGCCAAGAAATCAGCCAACAGACAGCAGTTGAACCTTTTAGCCCTGTGTCAGGAAATTGCAGAGGACATTGCCACAGACAGCATGTTGTTGAAGAAGATCGAAGAAGAAAAACAAGCAGCAGCAGCTGCTGAGGCAGCTAAGGCAAAAGCCAACAAGAAGGAACCTCCAGACGTTACCTCACAAGAAGCAGAACCAGATAATGTAGTGACCCCTGCTGGACCCGAGGAGAGCCCTGCTTCTGAGACCCCCACTCCAGAGTTGCCTGCTGTCCAGCCTGTTGTCCAGCCTGTTGTCCAGCCTGCTGTCCAGCCTGCTGTCCAGCCTGCTGTCCAGTCTTCGACAGCCGATTCAGCCGAACCCAAGCCAGCTGCAGAGCCTCCAAAGAGACGCTTCTTCATCTCTCAGATTTCAGTGCCTCTTAAAGCTCACGAGAAAAAGAAGCTAACTCGATATCAGAGACTGAGACAAGTTGAACTGCAGAGAGAGAAAATGTCTTGGGCCCGCGTCAAGAAACTCAAGTCTGACCAAACAAACCAGATGTTTTCAGATGTGGACTGGCAAGCGTCTTTTTCTGGCGGCTTTTTTATGGGTTCTACAACTCCTTCACAAGCAAGCAGTCCATCAAAAACACCCCCCGTAAGTCAAACATTTGCCACCCAGCCGGCTCTACCAAAAGGAGATTCTCCCAAAATTGAGACTCCTACTTCTGAACTTCTGAAAACGGAAGTTGACAAAACTGAAACTACGAAAACAGACAACACTGAAACTGAACTCGTTAGAACTGAAACGATCGAAACTGAACTCGCTAAAGCAGAAACCTCCAAAACTGAACCCAATAAAGCAGAAACAGCAAAAACAGCTGAACCTGTTAAAGCTGAAACTACTAAAACTGAAGCTCCTAATTCTGACAACCGAAGGATTACGAGGCAAAGTAAAGCTCAAGCGTCTAAAGCTGCTGTTGTAGCTCCAAAACCTGCTCCGAAAGTTACCAGATCAACATCCAAGAGGAGCCTCCCTGCAGTTCCTCCCCCCATGCCCAATGGACTTAATGCTCAAAAACCAAAGCCTGTGGAGTACAAACCATACAGACCCAGGCCAAAGTACTCCTTTGATGATTTTGAACTTGATGATGATGACTCTTTACTAGTGTCAACAATAAAGCCGAATCTTTCCACGCAACCACCTCGACCATGCTCCACAGCTCAGTCTAAACCTCCACTGAAACCCACCATTTCATCACAACCTGCCAACCAGGCAAAGCTCAAATCTCCAACAGCACTTCCTGGACCGACGAGGCCCGCTGCTTCACTTCAAGCTCACTTACAGTCCGCAAAGTCAAAACCTACAGTTACAGCAGCCGCACAGTTGAAACCTACGACTGCAGCTTCATCGAAGCCTGTTCCCTCAACCAGCACGCAGTTAAAGATCCCCATCTTGGCTGCTTCACAGTCCAAACCTGCTTCAGCTCAGCCCAAACCTGCTGCTTCTGCTTCTCCCCAGTTAAAACCAGTAAATGTAACAAAGCAACTTACACCAGCAGCCCCTCATCCAGACAGCCCAGCCACAACAGAAACAAAACCTGCTGCTGCTAAAACTGGTGACTCTTCAGTGCCTCAGAAAACTGAAAATCCCCCATCACAGGAAAATGAAAAATGCAAGGTAACTCCAAATAAATGTATTTCACAACTTTACAACCAACTTTTGAAAACACACGTTTCTTACAGTTATACCTGCCTTTTTTCACACACAGAATACAGCTGATCCACTGTCATCACTTCCTGCCTCTTCCCTTCCTTCTGTGGAGAGCACCGACGGCACAAAGACGTCTGAAGAAAGTCCTGCTGGTATGTTTTTTTTTTTATTGTTGTCGCACAATTTTAGGACTTATTCAGCTTTAACTGGTATGACTGAAATGTATCCTGACTTTAATGATTTTGAATGACATTTTATTAAAGTTGTAATTAATTGTTTACATCATTTACATCTTAACTACACACCGGATTCCAAAAAAGTTGGGGCACTAAACAAATTGTGAATAAAAACTGAATGCAATGATGTGGAGATGGCAAATGTCAATATTTTATTCGTAATAGAACATAGATGACAGATCAAAAGTTTAATCTGAGTAAATGTAACATTTGAAAGGAAAAATATGTTGATTCAAAATATCACAGTGTCAACAAATCCCAAAAAAGTTGGGACAAGTAGCAATAAGTGGCTGGAAAAAGGAAATTGAGTATATAACGAACAGCTGGAAGACCAGTTAACACTAATTAGGTCAATTGACAACATGATTGGGTATAAAAAGAGCTTCTCAGAGTGTCAGTGTCTCTCAGAAGCCAAGATGGTAAGAGGATCACCAATTCCACCATTGTTGCGCAGAAAGATAGTGCAGCAATACCAGAATGGTGTTACCCAGCGTAAAATAACAAAGACTTTTAAGTTATCATCAACCGTGCATAACATCATCAAAAAATTCAGAGAATCTGGAACAATCGCTGTGCGTAAGGGTCAAGGCCATAAAACTCTACTGGATGCTCGTGATCTCCGGGCCCCTAAACGTCACTGCACCTCAAACAGGAATGCCACTGTCAAGGAAATAACAGAATGGGCTCAGGAATAATTCCAGAAAACATTGTCAGTGAACACAATCCACCGTGCCATCCGCCGTTGCCAGCTGAAACTCTACAGTGCAAAGAGGAAGCCATTTCTAAGCAAGCTCAGACGTTTGCACTGGGCCAGGGGTCATTTAAAATGGAGTGTGGCAAAATGGAAGACTGTTCTGTGGTCAGATGAGTCACGATTTGAAGTTCTTTATGGAACACTGGGACGCCATGTCATCAGGACCAGAGAGGACAAGGATAGCCCAAGTTGTTATCAACGCTCCGTTCAGAAGCTTGCATCACTGATGGTATGGGGTTGCATGAGCGCTTGTGGCATGGGAAGCTTGCATGTCTGGAAAGGCACCATTAATGCAGAGAACTATGTTCAGGTTCTAGAACAACATATGCTCCCATCTAGACGTCATCTCTTTCAGGGAAGACCCTGCATTTTTCAACACGATAATGCCAGACCACATTCTGCAGCAATCACAACATCATGGCTACGTAGGAGAAGGATCTGGGTACTCAAATGGCCAGCCTGCAGTCCAGATCTTTCACCTATAGAGAACATTTGGCGCATCATAAAGAGGAAGGTGTGATAAAGAAGGCCCAAGACGATTGAACAGTTAGAGGCCTGTATTAGACATGAATTGGAGAGCATTCCTATTTCTAAACTTGAGAAACTGGTCTCCTCTGTCCCCAGACGTCTGTTGAGTGTTGTAAGAAGAAGGGGGGATGCCACACAGTGGTAAAAATGGACTTGTCCCAACTTTTTGGGGATTTGTTGACACCATGAAATTTGGAAACAACAGATTTTTCCCTTAAAATTATACATTCTCTCAGTTTAAACTTTTGATCTGTGATTTGTGTTCTATTCTGAATAAAATATTAGATGTTGGCACCTCCACATCATTGCATTCAGTTTTTATTCACATTTTGTTTAGTGTCCCAACTTTTTGGAATCCGGTTTGTACATGTTCAAAAATTATTCTCCCATTTATTTCCCCACAGTCACTGCTCGTAATTCTTCTGCAGAGAATGAAACCAAAATGGCAAAGATGGCAGCGAAGACATCAGAAAATCAGAAGTAGGAAGCTTCCTTTCAGTTTTTTGGTATGTTTTTCTTTCTATCAAGTGAAACTTGTTGTGATCTGATGTGTATTTGGATCTCAGCAGTGAAGCAAAGCCACAAGATGCTGCTACTTTTCTTTCTGATGCTTCTTTGCAAAAAGAGGTCAAGAAACTTAAGGAGGCTGACAAAGATGGCACCCAGACTATTATTGTGAGTAAATCAGTTTGACCAAAAATGTTATTGAGCAGCTAAAGTTGTTTTAAGTTAACTTTTTTTTTTGTTGTAATTGTTCACTTTGTTTTTAGCATATTATAACTATTATAGGGGTGTATGTTTAAATTAGGATGTGCTGGACCATCTGTGTCTCCTTTTGTTCCCCAGGATGCAGGACAGAAACACTTTGGGCCAGTGGCCTGCAGTGGGTGTGGGATGCTGTACTCTGCTGCCAACCCTGAGGATGAATCTCAGCATTTACTCTTCCACAACCAGTTCGTCAGTGCTGTCAAATATGTGGTAAAAGAAAGCTGCTTGCTTATTATTTACCTTTCCTTTCAAAAATGAATCACGGGTGTCAATTCACACAAGTCATTTTCAGATTCTTGACACGTGAGTTTCTTCATTATGATGTAGTTAAGCCAATTTAAGAGCATTATCTTGTTATTTAGTATTTATTTATTAACCTTTATTTAACCAGGCAAATCCCATTAAGATCACAGATCTCTTTTGCAAGGGAGGTCTGGGCCAGAAGGCAGACTAACATGCATGTTTTTGATCTGTGGGAGGAAACCGGAGTACCTGGAGAAAACCCACGCAAGCACGAGAAGAGCTTGCAAACTCCACACGGAAAGACGAGGCTTATTTTGATCCATATACCAACCGAAGCAGTTTGGTCGATAATGGTCAATCAGGTCATCTGGACAGTTTCTTTTTTGTGGAAAGAAGTTTCACCCTCTGTCCACAGGGCTTTATCAGTCTGAAGAGTCCCAAGTAAACTGTTGTCCCCACCAAGCAGTACTCTCCGTTAGTGGGCCAACCAGTTTGCTGGTGATAAGATGGTTTCTGGAGGCTGCCCTGTCCTTGACTCCTCCCAGACAGGCAGCCACAGCCAAAGTGGTTCAAGGCATCAGAGTTCGTGCTCAATCATCCAGGTACCAAATCCAATAATGGTCAATTGACCATTATTGGATTTGGTACCTGGATGATTGAGCACAAACTTTGATATCTGCTCTAGATCTTTTTTTCAGCTCCAGCAGTATGCAGCAGCTCTGGTGTCTCTGGGTCTTGAATGAGAGTTGGCCGTTTTGTGTTCACGATTGTAAAAGATCATCAAATATACAAAACAAATCCATTTTGTCTTTAATTTCAGGGGTGGAAAAAAGAGAGGATCCTCGCAGAGTTTCCTGATGGCAAGATCATTCTTGTCCTCCCAGATGATCCTAAATATGCTTTGAAGAAGGTTTGTTTAGAGAGCTCAGTCTTTGCTTGAATGAACGGTGGAGAAGTTAATCATCTGCCTGAAGTTAATGAAATCTGTGACCTCAGTCTGCCGTCATAATGTTTTTTGACTTATTTCTCAGGTGGAGGAGATCAGGGAGATGGTGGACAATGACCTCGGCTTCCAACAGGTGGAGACAAAGTGTCCCTCTCAGACCAAAACTTTCCTCTTCATCTCTATTGACAAGAAAGTGGCTGGATGCCTCATAGCGGAGCACATCCAGGAGGTATGAGGCTGAATTCATTCAGGAAGAGTTTCAGTTCTGATTGATTTAATGACACTGAGGCTGTGTTTGTTCACAGGGCTACAGGGTGATCGAGGAGGCTCTTCCCGAGGGCTCAGAGGGGGAGAAGATGTTGTTTGAGCGTCAGAAAGCTTGGTGCTGCTCCACCACGCCAGATCCAGCCATCTGCGGCATCAGTCGCATCTGGGTGGTCAGTATGATGCGACGCCAAGGCATCGCCACACGCATGATCGAGTGCCTCAGGTCAGTCCATTTACTAAAGATGTGTCATCTTAAAATGAGTTGTATGTAATTAATGTTTTGTTTTTCCACACAGGAATAACTTCATATACGGTTCCTACCTGAGGAAGGATGAGATTGCGTTCTCAGATCCAACTCCCGATGGAAAACTTTTCGCCTCGCATTATTTTGGCACCTCCCAGTTTTTAGTTTATAACTTTGTAAGCGGACTGCGCTCGCTCCAACCCAAAACTCAAGCAGTATGACATTCCACAAGAGAAGAAAGGATGTAGTCATCTGTCATGCTCACTCGCTCCTCTCTGCGTGTTTGAAGAAGGCCACACAGGAAGTGAAAAACTCTCATCCGAGAGGCGGCTCATTGGTTTAAATCTCAGGATAAAAGCAACAAATGGTTGAAAAGTGTCATTCGATTCTTCCCTAAATATTATTTTGAAATGACTATTTTCTTTAAGGAAACAATTGGTTTTAATTAGAAAAAAAAAAGTTTACATGCATGACCTGACAGCAATAGAATAAAAGAGCATATTATTTTTTACTTTCCGCAAACGCTTTAACTTTTTTACCTGTAATCGAGTGAAGAGGAGTGTCATGTTCTCTATGACTACGCCATCATCTCAAGTTGTGTTTTAATGTTTAAAAGCTGCAGCAAGGTGGACGGAGAGTTGTGGGTTTGGACTGCAGTCTGTAGTACGAGTCTTTGTCTTTAAATCTCACTTCTTCGTTTGTGCCTAAATAAGTAATGTTTGATTTTAGATGTTTTTATTTACATCTTTGCCAAAATGTTTCACTAAGCGGCATTTGGCTTTTTATTCAGTTAGCCTAGAAAATCATCTTATTGCTTAGAAATGTATATCAATTAATCATGTAGATTTATGCATTTTATTTCAAGATTTATAATGGAAGATGAGAACGGTCGTGAGCCTCTTGTGTATAATGGTAAATATCAGATTCAGTCGTCGTGATTGAAAACGAATGACCACCATGAAGGTTTAGATCCACTCTGATTAACAGCATCATTTTAATCATTTGTTTTCTTCCTCCTCGTTGAAGCGTTGAGCTGTTTTTGTGTAAGAAAAAGAAATTTTTTGATTTATATGAAGCTGGTATGTAAATATTTATTTAAACATAAAAAAAAACCAATTTTTCTCCAAATGGGTGTTATTGTGTAAAATGAGCCATCTAGTGGTCATTTTTGTAACTTCGTTGAAAAACATTTGAAAGATGGGCAAACCAGTTGAAATTGTGGGAATTTTCTTGCTTTTCACATGTTTTTTGTCTTTGTTGCAGCAGATGTAAACACCACCCCCCTCCTTTTAGCACATTCCTCGACGCTCCTGTCACAACATGGGCCGGCTCGTTGGCAACTTCTAAGAAAAAAAACAATCTTGGAACAACACGAATACTTCCTCAAACAGAGGGGGAGAAAACAGAGGTCTCCGCTTACTTCTCGAAGATCTGATACTAATCAGGGAGCGAAAACAACGGGGTAAAGGTATATTTAACTCAAAAGTCCACCCTGGTATTTTTACAGTCATATCAGGCAAAAGCAATAATCGGTGTCCACAAAGATAATTCAAGCTGGCTTTTGTCAACAAAAAAAACAGTCAGGTGTTTGTAAACATACACGTTTATTCTTACACATTAGTTTAAAAAGACAAAAGTTACAGCTGCCCGATTGAAAAACAAAAACCAGTTTATTCTAATACTTTTTGCCAGAGTTTTAAAATGTGTCTACTCAAGAATTTCAACTTTAGACAAACTCCAGATCAAACCTGAGGAGGACGGACTCTTAGTGCTGCTTGTTTTCTGACATCTGCGAGGACTTGATCTGTTTAAAGGGTTTTACAACAAGATTACACTAATACTCTGGCTTCTTGTACTATTGACATGCAACCAGTGAGTGGAAAAGAGCTGCTCTGGGAACAAGACAAAATATTTCTTATGTTTAGACACAAACAGCATCAGCTGTATGTTTGTTCACAACCTAATGTATACAGTGCTGTTTAAAAGTTTTAAAACACCCCTAATTTCATTTTATTTTGCTTCCAATGAATCAGTGCTCTTGGTTAATAGTTCTTCAGGCTTTCTGAAGTTCTACATTTTTCTTTAGACTTTGGCCGCTTTTTTCATTCAGGCTCTTTCCAGTCCTTGTTTCTGACAGTAACAGCATAATGTACCGTAAAAACAATTTAGGTGCACTTTTATACCTAAATGATTCATAAACAGCTTAATTAAAACAAACAATCTTTATAAAATTGTCCAGCCTCAGACGAAAAATGAGTGAAAAAGTAAAATGCGAAGAAAAACCTGAAAATCTTCAGAAAGCCTAAGGAATTATTGCTCAAGACCACTTCAAGAAACCAGAAACTGGCTTCTTGGAAGCTAAATGCAAAGAAATGACTCAAGACTTTCGCACAATACTGTAAAACATGTAAGAATGTCCAGCTCTTGACATATAGTTCTATCCAATAGCTGAAATGCTATGTACTCTGCTAAGGCCTTGACAACATGAAAACGTAGGCACCAAAACACATTCAACCATTACCCAATGTGCACTTTTTTAGGTGAATCAAACGGGGACGTTTAAGGATCGTCCATTAAAAAAAAAAGGCTCTCACAGAATAGGACAATGTGCGCCACAAAAATTATACAGCAAATCTAAAACGTCAGGTTCTTGAAGCCTTCTGTTAACGATGCTCTGACCTTTCCCAGGCTGCACCAGTACAACCTCACCATCAGGTGGCTCTACCAACGGGTGAACTTTGTTATCCTTCACCTTAAAGTCAGGAACGCCAACGCTCAACAGAACGCTTAGTTTGTTGTCTTCAGAACTGTCCTGGGCCTCTTCTACGTTCTCTCCACTGACGCAGCTCTTGCTTACTGTGCTTGGATCATCTTGACAGATCTCTGATTCAGTTGCATGGGGCAGAGAGAAGTAGGTGCACTTTCTATGTAGAGGATTTGTCTTGTCCTCTAGTTCTGGCTTTGCACTGAAGAGAGAATATGGAGTGTCTGCTACATCTTCATGTAGTTCTTTTTCTTGAGGACCACTCGAAAAGGTCTTGTTTATTCCCACTGGGTCTGACAGTGACTTTCTCATTGTTGTGTTCTCTCTAAGGAGCCATCGTCCATTATCAATGGGGACACTGTCTCCAGGCCCCACTTGTGCGTTGAAAGCAATGCATCTTGTCGCTTCACTGAAAGCGTCCAACGCGTTGGAGGAATTGAAGTAAGACAATTCGGACATGGCTTTGGATCGGGCTGCGTGAAAGGGCGAGAAGATGCTCGAGGGCTCTTTTTTCCTGTGATCTGACTCAGATGGGGTTCTCTCACTTGTTTCCTCTGGTTTAGCTTCTTTCTTGCCATAAAGCATTTCGATGGTCCTCCTCACGAAGCCTTTGGTAATGGATTTCTGTGCTGAATCGTCTTCTCCGCTGGACATTTCGCCTGAAGTTTGAGACTGATATCCACCGCTGTCGGAGCTCCCTGCCTTGAATGCGGACAGCTCTGATGAGTTTGTGCTGGGGTAACATTTCTGCTGGACGTCTGTAGCACTCTTTGCCAAAAACATTTCCCTGATGGATCTGACCCGGCTGCCTTCAGGCTCTGTGGTTACAACCCCGCTGGAGTCGTAGCTGAAAGACAATGATGACTGAGGGGCTGAGCGGGTACAGATAGGCAGCTCGGATGTGGGTGATTCAGAGGGTGATTCTTCTGACTCAACGTGGGTCTTTCTTTGGGAGAAACGTCTAGCGGTGGAACTTGCTGGCGTGTGTTTTACTTTCTGGACATCAGAAACCTGACTTTCCAGAAGAATCACCCTCTCTGCAACAGACTGGGTGAGACGTTCTTCAGATGATTTAAGAGTTTTCACCCCCTTCTCACAGTTTGTTCCTTCTGCTTGTGTGAGTGGATCTTCCTGATGCCGTGCATGACTTTCTTCGGTGTTTATGTCCACAGTGGCTTGTTCCTCCTCGGAGCTGAATGGTTTTTCATAGTAGTTTAATTCTTCTTCAGCGGAGCTGCTGATTTGATCGTCTTCGCCTTTTAGTTCATCGACATGTTCCTCACAGCTGCTGTGGTCATTCCCACTGTCGTCATCTTTATCAAAACTAAAACCCTTTTCAGATATTACCAAATCGCTGTCGTCTTTGACGCTGTATAAATTCTGACTGTTTAACAAATTGCTCAAACCTCTGTCAAGAGTAACTGGACATTTTGGATTAGCTTCACCCCCTGAGCTAATTTTCTCTTTCTCTTGTCTTAAAGCTGCCAGCCCTTTACTTTGTCTTGTTTGTTCCTTGAATTTAGGAAGTTCACGAAAAAGCTTCTCGTTCTGCTCTTCCTCATTGCTTGACAAACATTCCTCAATAATAACCTGCAGTTTTTTACAGTCAACCACTGGCTGCTCTTCCTCTGAAGATGGATCTTCTGAGTTGGAGCTTCCTGTGCTAACATTCAAACCCATACTGTACATTTGACACTCTGAGGTCATCCATTTGACCTCTGGCTGTCCTTCCTCTGAGAAACTTTCACTGTCCATGTTGGATATGCTGTTCTTTCCTTTAAAATTCACTTCCACGTATTGGTTTGAACTCGGTTGCTCATTGTTAGACAAATCCTCACCTTCACTACTTTCCTGCTTTAGCTCCTCACATGCAACCTTTGCATCATTTTCTGATTTATGCAGCTCACACACATCCGACACGTCTTTACAGGTTTTCTCTAAATCGTTACTGGCACTTGAAAATGTCTGCGCTTCATCACGGCGTAGCACGTCATCAATGATATTTTCCTCGTTTTGAATCTTTAGCTGCCTAAATTCCAAACAGCGCTCCTCCTTTTTGAAGATACAACTGTCTTTTTCAAGTTTTTTGCTACTGCTCACACCTCCGTTCGTTTTTGTCAGCTCTTGTGGTAATTTATCACCACCGTCATCCTGCGGCTGTTTTTGCTTCCCCTGATAGTCTTGATGGTCCACATCCCTACATGACTGCACATCCGTGGATGTTTTACAGGAAAGCTGTCTTTCTTGAGGCCTTTGTTCACAACTCACTTCATCTAATTGGTGTTCAGTCACAAAATTCAAGTAATCTTTGCTGGTCTTTACTTGATTTTGAGTTGGTTGGTGCATTACTGTCTCTGAAATCACTTCCGATGGTTTTGGCTGGTTGATGTCAGTGACTGATTTCACATTGACGCTTGCATCTTCTTTAGGAATTGTGTCTTTTGTAGGAACATCGTTTGCGATTTCATGGTTGTTTTGATTTGCTGGCAGCTTCAGTCTTTCAGCAAACTTCTCTTCATTGTCACCCTCGCTTTTTACACACTCAGAAAGAGAAGCCAACTCCTCCTTAAGCTTATCAGGAATATCCAGGTTATCTATGATCTCATCAATCGCAGTCTCTTCAATGGCGCAGTCTTGTTCAGGACCAGGCTCAGTCATGAATGACACATTAGGTGTTGAGTTGTGACTTTTGCATCGCTCACCGAGTTCCTGAAAGCCCTTCCAACTTTGCAGAAGCTGCTTTGAGGCAGACTGTTGTAAATTTGATAAACTCATTTTGAGTTTGTGGGAATCTTCAATGTTGGCAATTTCTTGTAAGGAATCGATCATTTTTAAAGCCTCGGCACAGCTGACATGGTTTACGTTCAACTCGTCCATGGTTAGGTTCGTTAAGCCTTCCTTTAGGGTCATGACGGCCAGGAAAGCAAGGAGAGCTTTTGTTGAGGAGCCAAACGTCGAGGCTACATGAGAGGAGAAGTCTGGTAAGCTGTTGGACTTCTCCAGACAGGATGGTCGTTTGTTCTGGGTGATTTGTCGAATTGACTTTATCGAGCAGCATACCTTCTCGAGGACTGGTTTCATGTTTGGCTGGTTTGCAGTGTTTGTTGGCTGTGGCTTTACGTGTGTGTCTGATGCAGATTTATCCTGATCTGCTGTTACAATCTTATTATCATCGACCTTCATTTCACCAGCTGATTTTCCTGACTGTGGCGTTTGGCGACTTTGTCTTTGGAATGATGTTTTCTTTAGAGACGTACTTGTTGATTCTGGTGAACTGTCCAAAGAGAGGTCTTCGGAGGGAAACTTTCTACTTGATTTGTGTCTGACAGGTGGTGAGACATCCAAAGACTGAGAGTACGGAGATGCTCTCTGGAGCTCTATTGGTTTATGATCTTTTTTCTCAGAAGGGTTAGCATTTGGCATTACATGTTCTTTTGTTCCAATGTTTGGAAGAACCACTTTATCCAGAGTGTGGCTAGTCACTGGTGCTAATTTAGGAGAGGTATTTTGAAGTTCAACAGAAGGTTTGTTTTGTAATATTCTCTCTGGAGATGGACTAGGCTTTATTTTTGCTCTTTTTATCAAGGTTTTGGGTGATGGTGCCTCCTTTTGAGATGTTTTTACAAGTTTTGTTTCTTTTAATTGGATGTTGCTCAACTTTGAAGCTTCACTCAATGACATGCTGGCAGATGACATCCTTTGGTCCGATGTTAAAGAAGAACAAAATGATGGTGTGCCCAGATCTAAAACTGAATGCTGGGTTTCTACAGGTGGGTCTTCAAATGGTTGTGTAATTCCATTAGGCGGCACATCATCTCCCACAGTATTGAAGGGAGTAGACATTGTGGCTGCCTTTGGAGTGTTGTCATTACCTAAAGTGTATTTATCCAAAGAAGCCTTTCTGAGAGACATTTTCCTTTCAAATGAACCATTACTGACCAAAGGAGCTCTTTTAATGGATGAAGTTCTGGATAATTCTTCCCCATGCTGTGCAGAACAGTTGTTGGTTTCCACCGTGTCATTAGTTGGTGATATGGCCTTGTCAGATGTAGGACTCAAAGATGATGGATGATCCTCTGATAATCTGCTCATTGATGAGAGTCTGTATAAAGAGCTGCTCGCTGCTGATGGAGCGTCCTGAGTGGAATACCCAGTGTTCAGTAGTTCAGGTGGTGGTGGCGGCAGCTCCATGGAAAATGTATCCGTGGGTGTTTCTGGATTTTCCTCTTCACTGCCTAATGCCATTTCTGTTGATGTTTGGTCTGCTGGTGGATTTATTCCAGAGCAGATCCCATTCGAGTGACGTTTAACTTGACTAATTGCAGATTTCTCCAATGGTGGATTTGATTTGATTTCAAAAGACTGTACTCTGAGTTTGACAGATGATGTGATCGGCGTCTCTTGATATTGTTTAGAAGTGATGATTTTTTCTTTTTCATCTTCACACCTAACATTTTCAGTTCTTGCAGATGGAAGCACCTCTAATATTTTACTTTTCATATATGTGTCAGATGCCAGGTTCAAATCTGTTTTCTCCAGCCAGTTCTCTACATACTCTTTAGTGGCAGAGCTGGAGGCATTAAAAGGCAACAAGGACATGCTTCTACTAAGATCAGATGACTTGTTTGCATTCTTTGTCTCCGTATGCATTGATGTCTGTCGTGTCAAAATTCCCCGAGGTTGACTAAAATTAGTGCTTGTTCTAAAAGAAATTTGCCTGCTTTTCTTTTCTTTTAAAGTTAATGATCCATTTGAGTCTTTACCACTAGTTTTAACTGTAGCATCTGGCTTTGGTGCGCTTCCCATCGCTATCCCTTTGTCCCAATTTAAGGTTGGTTTCTTTTTAAGCTTTTTCAACTTTTTTCCTGAACTGGATTTATTACCATAAATTCTCTTGATGAACATAGCGCTGGAGAATGGTTTGACTTTTTTATGTCTCTCGGCTCGTTTTTTGGAGCTCTTCTTTTGTCTTTTTCTTGGCATTACAACCAGCTGAACATGTCTGCTGATGAATCTAGATTTTGAGGCGGCACTCATGACGTCTGTCTGTTGGGGCTTGACATGGCCTTTTGCAGGATTCTTATACTGTTGTCCTTGAACTGCATCAGCTTTCAGAGAGGATGAGTGTAAATCTGTTTTTAAAGATGTGCTATCACCCAACTTGATACTAACAGACTCAGATGCAGTTGGAGGACTCCAGATCTCCTGTTCAAATTTATTATTTGAAGAAAGCTGCCCAATTTCTGAAGTAGCTGGCCCCAAAGTCCCACAGACTACAGATAGGTCTTGCGCACAAATATTCGGAAGGAAATTATCCTGACAAGTCTGCTGTTCATATATGTGTAAAACCGTTTCAGTGACCTCCTCTTTGCTGAATTCAGTCTGCATGATTTCAGTCATTTCATTTGAGTTAAAACCAGAGATATCTCTACTTTTTATATCAACAGAGCCTAGCCGTCTTGGTTTGGGTACTGGTCTTGTGTTGCTCTGATTAACCATGCAGAACTGTTCTGTTGTCCTGTTTGCCTCTTCAACCCCATTCCCTTTAAGAGATGCAATGCTCTCCACAGAAGCTTGTTCTTTGCTTATTTTTTTCCATCCTGGGGTAGGGACTCTCCTTGAGGATACTACATCTGTGTGGTTTTCAATATTTTCTTCACAACTACTTTCACTGAAAACTTCATTGCCCAACGATGGCGGATCATCATCGTTGTCGTCTTTAGATCTATCCTTGTTGAAGATGTCAATGGAAGCATCAGATTTTTGTAAACTGTGTGAGTTTAACTGATTTAAGTAAACCTGCTCTTCCTCTAACTCAGATATGCAGGCCACGTTGGGCTGGTCAGCTGCAGGCGAGCGTGTTAGGGTGGTGGTCCACTTAACTGTTTCTTCTTCCTTAATTGTCAGCCGCACCTTCATCTCCACTGTCATGCTGCCATCCTGATTCACCCGAAAGGACTTCTCGATGTTGTCGTCATTGGACAGAGAGCAGTCCTGCCCTCCAGGTCCATCCCCAGGACAGGGCTCACCCTCTGTTTCTGCTACAGATTCCAGTATGCAATTCGAGTCCAACTCCACAGAGTTATTGAGGTTACTGGGCAGGTCACATGAACTCTCTGCAATGCTGTTATGAATCTGATGAACAATGTACCTCTCGGAAGATGCTGAGAAATTTCTTGACTTTGTAGAATACGGCGGGGACTTCTTTTTAGCTTTTCAGTCGATAGAACGATCCATAAAAAGTCCAGAAAAGGTGGAAAAATCAAAATGAAATGTCCAGAGATTTCAGGAAAGTTGACAAGAATCCAAGAGAAGCATGAAGGGAGAAAGAAAAAGAAAGGATAAATGTTAGAATGAATGAACGACTGCTCCTCAGGAACATTAGCCTGCAGCCCTGTGGAGTTTGCATGTAGGTCATCTACAGTATTACGTATGATATTATCACCTCAGCACTTTCCCAAGCTTTATCCTTTGAGAGCAGGTAAGTTATTGCAGACACATCACATGTGTCCATCAGACCAACACACTGCTTCATGATGCGTTGGTAAAATGCTCTCACGAACTGCATAAAATTATATGGGTGCTTGCATTTGCATATATTTTCTTTAAACTTACCGTTTAAAGCCTTTTGTCTTCTGAAACCCCTTCGGTTATTACGCCACCTTGTTGGAGCTGGAGATTTGCTGTATATGGCAGGTCTGAAAGGCTCCCTGCCTACAGCCACCACAGTCCCAGAACACATAATCAAACCTGGAAGACCATCAACCTGAAGCAAACAGACAAAAAACAGAGCAGTCACTTCTTAAGTAGTGCCACAATGGCTATTTGATTGTATGAAAAACAGAACTCCAAGACTTAAAACTAAAAATTAATATATGTACGTATACACGTTCATTGTACTCTTTGTCAAAATGGCATCTTGAAAAAACAACCACTTTATAATCAATCCTTGGCTTTAAGCTTTCCAGTGTAGTATTTCAGGATGCCTTTTTGGCATTAGGCAAGTTGCTAAAGGAGCTTATCACTTTCTCTCCTTGTGTGACCACTACTTCATGCCAGGTTTAAGTTCATGTAAGTTCTTTGGAGTCAGCTTTGTTTTGTTAGCACGAAAGGTCATTCATGAATATATTGTGTTTGTACTATGCAGTTTCTCTTTAAACAAATTGTTTGTTGTACTGAAAGTTAAAACACTTACACGTCTGCCATCTGGTGTGTGTAGTTTATTCACATGAAACTGGACCAGTTCAGAGATATAGTTCAGGATAGACTCATAGCTAGGTGTAGTCTTCTTGTGAAGCACCACAGTGTGCTTGATGGAAGGGTCTCCGTTGCGAAAAACCACAAGCCTCTTTGGTGTGCGTATGACGATCGGCTCTTGCCAGTGGAAGTTTTTCCTGCCTGGAAAAAACTGCCCGGTCCGGCGACGAGAACTAACGGGTCTTGTGTGGTACCAAGGTGGCAGTTTTCTCCGAGCCAGCGCCAGATCGAAGGGTTTGACTTTACGACTGTCAGAGCAGATGTAAGATTTCCCATCTTCGAGTTCGTCTAAAGTGCTAATGCCGTGAACCCCTCGAGGAGTCGTGATGTTCCGCACGCCAAACGGCAGGGGAACCTTTTTTGAGAGGCTGTCCAAGAGCGCTTCAAAGGTTTTAAAAGTACGGTTGTTGATGACCATACGCAGGCCATTGAACTGAGGATCTCCACTTTTGTAGAAGCAGACTCTTTTGGACAGGATGGGGTTGATGACACTTGGGTGGCGGACGGTGTCCAACGTGTGCCCACTCCCTAATGATGGGTCAGGGAGGGTTCTCCGCAGCCCTATTTCATTCATCGTCGTTGACCAACTGCAAACAGAGAAACAAGTAAAAGGTTAGACATTTAGCAAGAAAAACAGTTTCTTTGTTTGTCTTAGTGGATGCTGCTTGTTCTAACTTTAAGGTTCCCAGTGTAAACATTCAAAATGTCTCCTGCTCCCCCACTTCCTGAGCCATTGCAATAAAACCAACAGTGATAAACCATTGGTGATGGGTCTTTTAAGTACCTTCCCTGTGCAAACAAGCAACAATTGACATTTTCCTTAATCTTTCTACTTGTTTTTGCTTGTGTGTTTATCTGTTGTGTTATTTGACATCTGATGTCCCGCTGGACGGATTTCAATAAAACACTCAAAGTAATCATTAGCTGTACATCTACGTATTATTAACGTTAGACAGGCGATCCAATTAAAGGTGGTCACCACAGCTAATTGACCTTAACACAAAATAGCAATAACTTGGTTAAATTTAGAAATATTAGGAAAATGTATGTGGTAGTAGCTGAGAGTCATCCTCCTCTCAACAGATCCTTCATTAACGCTCGAGATTGCACATTTTATTTACAAAACGATCATAGTTTAACAATCTGGTATAAAAGGTGGTGATATGCATTCCAATAAGGAATGTGAAGTCTTTAATTGGAGTTTGTTTGTCAATGTAATTTCTAGTTGATGACAACCAGAACTTGTTCAATACATATTTTCTTTATCTATTTTACCTTTTTAATTGAAAATATGCAAGATGTCAAATTTATTTTTCATTTTAGAAAATGGTGTTTTATAGAAACTGAGTGGGAACTAATGTATTATGGGGATAAAAAGGATGGTGATTTAGAGGTTAGCAGCTAAACAACACAACACTGTGTTCATTGCAGCCTAAATGAATCTTGTATCAACAACTGAATGACGTCTGGCAAACATATGTTGTTTACTCAGACTGTGTCCGTCAGCTTATATGACCTGTCTGCAAAACGGGTCATTAGAAAGGTATTTTTGCCAAAATATCTTAAAAAGTGCTTATAAAACGCTGTTCTCAAACTTTTAATAAGTCTCTTAAGTTTAAACATTTTTAAAATATTTTTATTTTTAGGTGAAAAAATTTAGTTATTAGTCATTTTGCTGTGAAAGTTCCAATTTTGGTTTAGTTAATCAAGTTTAATCGCTCGTAGTAGAATTGGAACTTATTTAAAAGCAAAAATCTAGCACATTGTGTATGACGATGTAATAAACAAGTCTTAACAAAATTAAGCTTAAACGCAAATAGAAAAATTGTGGTATTTCAATGTAAACTCACCTTCGCTAGCATCGTAAAAAATCCCAAAAGTTTGTAAAAAGATCCATGACACTTTATTTCGTGCTCCACAGCACAATAGCTGCTGAGCTAACCGCACAGTTAAGTGTTTATTTCAGGAGACGCCATCATTGGTTATTTGCTTAATCTTTGCTCAGAGTTAATCTCCACTGCAGGTGCAAAGCTTGAAAATCCTCTTTAGAAAGGTGTGTCACACAGATGCATATAGAGCTATCACAACAGACTGAAGAAGAGGTCCAAAAACCTCAGAAAGTAAATTATTGGTTTATATTGACATGTAGTACATGCATGTGAGTACATGTATGATGATGTATTGCCAATGGCAAAGAGAAATCCTAAAAAAAATTAAAATGCTTTGAAATAGTGTTTTTGAAAACTGACTTCTTAAAGTAAAAACCATTATGAATATAAGCAAAATGTGAAAAAAAGCTTTTCTGAACAGCAGATAGTCGTTTCGTGTCTGCTTGAAATATTCTAGCACGTTTGTAATCTTATTATGGACCTCTTTAGGTAATTAGGATTAAGGTGCTCTCGATTCTCAGGACCCTCAAAGAAGCGCACTTGTTTTCAATAAAGAATGAAGTCATTCAAATGTTTGTCCTGAAGGGATGGGTCAGATTTTTGAAACGGGGGTTTTGTGGAAAGTGTATGAACGGTTCAAATCTTACCTGTTGTAGATAGCTCTTTCAGTTGCCTCTGTTTTAAGAAATAGTTTAATTTTGACAAAATTGACAAGCAGCTACTCTGGACTGAAACCAAAGTGAATTACTGTCATCTTGCACTGTTCCCACTTTTTGGCCATGTTGTTTTTAAAACAAAAACTCCTAATTGCTTAAATATTTTCATGTGTTATAAATTTTTCAGTTAAGGACATTATTTTACCAATGCAATGCATTCTGGGGGGATAACATGCATAGGTTGCAGTCAAGAGGAGAGCACTAGGGCTCGAGGATAAAAAGTTATAATATAGGACAATGAAGTTTTAATTTGTTTTTGTCTTTATGCCATTATGCATAATATATGGGTAGGATTAATATCAAATGTGATCAAGTTGGAATATTAGCTGGAGCTAACATGACAGTTAAAAGGCTAACGCTGAGGCACAACCCCCACAAACTTATGCCATCTGTCCAACTGAGGCAGTGTTTTGTTTTACTTTCTGGTCCAGATGGAGCAAAATTACAAAATTTTGCTCTACATTGGTTTCATCGCCCTGCAATCCAATTCAGGATGGATGGATGGATATGTAAATTGTTAAAATTGATCTTTTCATTTTTGTTTGTCATAAAATGTGCAGCACAAGCTCTCCCATGAGCTGCGCAAATGCCAGCTATTTTTTTGTTTTGTTTTTTGTCTGACTCTCCCTTTATCTGTTTGGTCTTTATCATTTTCAGCTGCATGGCGAATTATTTCTACATTCTCCTCTCTGTTGACACCCTCAGGTTCAAGTGAAAGGGTTGAACGTCAAACATTGTCCAAAGTAACCCTTCAAGCTTCATGGAGCTCACACTGCAGCAACTTCTCTGTCATCTACCCAGAATGCACTGCAGCATAAACAAAAATGTGATGTTTGTGCGACATTAATTTAAACAGCCCACTGTATTTTTACAGTCCCATTTTAATGGCTGAAGCAAATATATATCAAAGAAAGTCTATTATCCCAGCTAGGGGATCTCTTTGAAACCCCTTTAGTCTAAAAAAAAACTTGAAATGGTCCATGCGGCTACACTGGAAGTGCCACAGCTAGCTGCTGCTGTTATAGTGCTTGCAAATAACTACATTTATATGGAAATAAGTGTATTGTGAAGCTTATGACATTGTAAAGGTGAAAGTGAAATGTTTGTGATTGGAGTTGATTGAAGACACCTTCCACTTTGTTTTTAGTTCACTCAGATTAGCCAATCGCACATCAGTCTGATAAGAATTGAACTTAAACTCTAAACGGAGTGTGTTCATGGAGGATGTTCAAAAACTATCTACAAAAGGAAAGGTATCAATTGGGAATAACTACGTCTTTAAACCTCACTTTAATTACCGTAATTTCCGGACTTTAAGCCGCTATTTTCCAGACGCTTTGATCCTTGTGGCTTATACAATGCTGCGGCTAATTTATAGACTGTTTTATTTATTTATTTTTGAGGGGCTAACGAGCTTCATGCCACCAAAACATTTAGCCTCATCACATCAGGACGCTCACATAGCTGCCCAGTACACATCTCTCTTGTGGGGTGGGTCCTTGTGACTCATTGAGACTACCTGTATAAATAAAGATAAAATAAATAAATCTGACCTATGAAATTACCGAACAAGTCACAATGGACCAATTAAACTTGGTCCCCACCCACCTTTCCCCGCCTCCGTTCGGGCACAGCATGTATTTAATTAAAGTTTTAAAAACCTTTCTGTATAAATACCTCAAGTTATAACGTGGACACCCGCGGCTTATATATGTATAAAAACTTTTTTTATTTTTAAATTTAGTGGGCACGACTTATATTCAGGTGCGCTCAATAGTCCGGAAATTACAGTAATCTAATCGCTTTAGAATAAAAGTTAAATGTTTTCAAAAACGTGATTTAATTTAGGTGAGTTTCTCACTGTCCATGTGACACGAGGACACATATTACATGGCTATAAATAAAATTAAAAATAAGAGGAATGCCCCTTTAATAGCAAAAACAGATATAGTCAACTCAAAAACACACACTGTTTGATTAAAAAAAACAAAAAACAATTAAGTTTAGAGGGGGTGGGCACTATTAAATTACGTAGATGAACCGTATTACTGAGCAGTATTAGCTGATCATGCATATCCTTTACCGTGAACTACTCTGAGTTGCATAACAGTTACTAAAACTAAACTGAACCGAGTTTATTTCTGTACTAAAAGAGATTAGCGTACAAGGGATGACTTCATTCCACAGTAAACCTGGGCTGAACTGAAGGAATCAAAGGCATTTGCAAAAGTTATCAAATGTCTTTTCAGCATGAAAGGATAAAGTGATTCCACTCTGTCGTAGTGTTTGGTTTACTGCTGTAAAAATACTCAAGGTGTACACAAAACGGATGATATGTGCTGTAGGAAAGAATTCCTGCTGAGCCCGAGCAGACAGACGTCCAGGAATGCCACGGGAGACTCCCACGAGCTGAGTCCACTTTCTGCTCCCAAAACAACAACAACAAGCGCAAAAATGTGAAAAATCCTGCAAAGGAAGCTGAGGGGGGGAACAATGGAGGAAACGTTAAACGTAAACAGGTAGGCCTGCGTGCTCTTCATTCCAGCTCTCTGCAGAGATAAGAAACATTGGAAGCGAGAGGGTAAAAACGGCTGGACATGCTGATAGAGCAGCACAAATCCTGCCAAGCATGCCACATTTTCTGCCGTATAAGTCGCATCAGTCCAAGTATGTTTAATAAAGTGGAAAAAAAAACCATAAATAAGTTGCTTCGCCGTATACGTCACATTTATTATGCGTCACCGCTGATTCGTTGCGTTTGTTACGCGTCACCACTGACAACCCGGAAATATGGGCCAAACCCGGAAATGTTGGCCGGTGTGCCAAAACTGATTGGCTGCCAAATGGCGGCTGTAGGAGCGTGCACAGGAGGACTTTTAACAAGAATTTAACGATTAACACTTAAAAACAAATATTGATTGATTGATTGATTGATTGATTGATTGATTGATTGATTGATTTTTATTGTCAATTCTGCATATGTACAGGACATACATAGAAATTGAAATTGCGTTACACTCCTACTCAAATTGCAGCAAACAACAACATTAGCAAAAATAAACTAACACAACTAGTTATATAAAAAAATATAAAAAAATATAAAAGTGAACAGCAGCAGGACCTCTGATGCAACGTGCTCAATAGTGACTAACAGGAGACAAAGGGACGCTGACTGAAGACAATAACATGATGAGAGGTAGATAATGGATGTGCAAGGACAGAGTAAACAATAGTGCAATATAAAGTATAAACCTGAGAAACTTAGTAAAGTGAAGGTGTGCATACCGGTTCTATATAGAGTCACAGTTATGTACTGATGAGGTGATTATGTGGAAATGACAATACCAGAATTACCAGAATAAAGAATAAACAGGACGAGTTGATCATAACAGTAGTGCAAAATATAATGCAATAAACAGTAGAGTGAGCTTGTAGGCTGTTAAAGTGACCGATTCATGAACTATTCATAAAACTAAATAAATGTCCCAGAGCAGTTTTGAAGGGGGGGGGGTGTCAGGAAGCTGAGTTAGTGTGTGCAGGGTGGCAGAAGTGGGAGAGGGGGCTGAGGGGGGGCAGGCAGAGAGTTCAGCATCCTCACGGCCTGATGGACGGAGCTGTTCCACAGTCTGCTGGTCCTAGAACTGAGGCTACGCAGTCTCCGCCCTAATGGCAGCAGGTTGAAGAAGCAGTGTTGCGGGTGGTCAAGATCTCCCACCCAGCAGAGGGCTTTACTTCTGAGGCGAGAGCTGTGGAGGTCCTGAAGGCAGGGGAGAGAGGTGCCAATGATCTTCTCAGCTGTCCTCACGATCCGCTGGAGGGATTTGCGGCAGGATGCTGTGCAGGCCCCGTACCACACAGTGGAGCAGCTCATCAGGATGCTCTCGATGGCCCCCCTGTAGAAGGTTGTCATGATGGGGGTGGGGGCTCTCGCTCTTCTCAGCTTGCGGAGGAAGTAGAGCCGTTGGTGAGCCTTTTTGGCCACTGCTGCTGTGTTGATGGTCCAGGAGAGGTCCTCAGAGATGTGCACACCCAGGAACTTGGTGCTGCTCACCCTTTCCACAACAACACCGTTGATGGATAGTGGAGCATGTTTTGTCTGAGTTCTCCTGAAGTCCACAACAATCTCCTTGGTCTTCTCTGTGTTCAGCAAGAGATTGTTGCGTTTGCACCAGGAGACCAGCCGGCTCACCTCGCTCCTGTAGAGTGACTCATCGTTGTTGCTGATGAGGCCTACCACAGTCGTGTCGTCCGCAAACTTGATGAAGAGGTTGGAGGGGTGTGATGGAGAGCAGTCGTAGGTTAGTAGAG